CTGCTAATCAGTTTCTCTTTCTAGTTTGTGCATTGCAATGTGTGCAAATCTTACTACCTATGTTCTTCCTCTCTCTTTACCTTTGGTTATAGAAAAGGCTTTGAGGAAAATAATTTATATAGATAGAAAATAACTTCCAGGTAAGTTTTGTGCAGCATGTTTTCATGTAACTTATTGAAATGATGTGAATAATAGGTATCAAATAAGCATCATCTATAAGTCTGCAGAAAATCTTCCAGCTGAAGTAGTGTGGCTCTAGACATGTCGCAGTGTTTTAACAAAAACTAAAATTAGAAAAAGAAAAAAAGAACAGAAAAAGGGACCAGTCCCTTTGAAATACAGAGTAGAAAGATTCATTGGTAGAAGTGAGCTTTGGGGTAGCAGATACACACATTAGAATTACTGCATCCATGTGAAGGATGGGGAGGAGCTGCACTCTTTATGTACCCAGGAGCAGGTAAAACTGCTTTGATCAAGTCTTGAACTAAAACTTCTCCTGACTGTTCCTGTTCAGCATTGCATAGATTTTGAACAACAGTCTTCCCAAGTGGCTGCTTATTGCCATAAGATGGAAAGTAACTCATCATTGTCTAGAATTTGTGCATTATTTGTGCATATTTACTGTCACCCAATAATGAATTTTGCTAACAAACTTTGTAATGAGGTCTCACACTATTTGGAGAGACTGTATAATCACCAGGCACACAGTTCTAGATTTTTTTCCAGAGACAAAGATAAAATTATGGTACCAGAATCACTGTAATACTCTGGAGAAGACACCAGATACTTTCCTTGCAGGATGAGTATTGATTCTGCCTGCAATGTCTTATCAGAAGAGATCAGAAACAGACTGAAACTTTCAGTTGTACTCAGTAATGTTAGTAAATTCAGTACTGATACAATGGGACAGAAAGCTTCTTTTCATGTCCAGTGCAAATGCTAGCAATTTCAAAATAGATTTCTTTATTAATTAGAGGGTTGAATGTTCAAATTTTTTGTTAAAAGTTGCTCTTAACTTAACAAATTCAAGTCAGTTGACTCATGCTGTTTATGTAGTTTAAAGCTACATTATTTAAACCAAGTTAAAAACCATAGTTAGATTTATTTTTGAAAATGAGAGTTGTTTAAACTAGGAGACATTATTTGAAATGGAGAAAAACAGTCTAAAATATCAAAATTGATGGAAGCAAAAATATTAAAAGTTCTGTTCAATGTTGGCAAGTGGGTTTCAGCTGACAAAAACTTTACTTAAAAACTGCCTGCCCATTTTATTATGAATAGAAACACAATTCTAGTAGGTCTTTTCCAGTGCAGTGAACTACAGGAGGATCAACATCATTTGTTTCCTTAAAACAGGTAATAAATTATGAGATTTGCAGAAACGAGGTTCTGCAGCACTCTTCAGCTATAGTTTAAGATTTTTTAGCAAACTGCAGAGTTGAGCAATGACATAGTTGTGTGCATACATAAACATATAGCAAATTTTGTTGGACAGAAGCTTTTACCTTTACATAAAACTTACCTGTAAAAGGAATCACAGTTCACAGTTGATGTTATCTCCAGTTGTTACTGGCAAAATAGGTGGGGTTGTATGCATTCCTGAAGGCAACTTCAAGATACTTTAGGATAATGTCTACCTCTCTATGAAAAGAGATTTTTCTGATTTGTGACGTATTTTTACCTATAATTTTTTTTTAAAAAAGGTGAAACTTAAGTCCTTTTGGAATAGATAACAAGCAATTTACAGACTCCATACAGATGCCTTTGTCCCTAAGTAGTGTAAGGATTTGTCTTCTGCAAAAGATATCCTCACTTGGTCAAGACTCTCATCAGACTCTCATTTCTTCACCTGGGAGCTTGTGCTGTGCACTCTGCCTTACCACCTCCTCCTGTGGCCTTTGGCAGGGTGTCTGCCGGGCTCTGCCTGGCTCTGATAGCAAGCACAGGTGCCATTGGACACCCCCAAATCCAGTGTTGCATTTACAGACCTCTGAGTTTTGGTTGAAGTGATCGGGCTCTACCTGGTCTCTGAATGTTCCTTAAAACATGCAGTATTATTCCAAGATTTACAGCAGCCAGCATTGTATTCAGAGGAGTGGATGTGTCAATTAAAGAAATAGGTTATTTGAATAGGCTGATGCATTTGAGAAATGCAGTCACACTCGACGCAGTAAAAAAAAAGGTAAAAAAGGGATTTTTCCAGGAAGTGTGCAAATTTTAATATGAAATCCATAATTATCTTATCAGTATTTGCTTAAAGGCAGAGTTGGCAGAATATTAAAATGTCACACAGTTTGAAGAGCATCAGAATCCCATAGCTGCTTGTATTACAGGCTGTATACAACAGGAAACTATAAAACATATTCATGGCATACTAAAATGTTTGGAAACCTACTGCAGCAGCATAGATGGAAATGTTGAAATAAGATGTTACATGACGATGTTATTAAATAGAGCAGCAGGGAACAGTACAACAAAAGCTTGAGGTGCAAGTAATCAAATCTTTACCTTTCCTGCTAGAAATAAAAAACTGTAGTAGATTGTAAAAATTGCAAATTTTAAATAGATGCTAATGTGAGAGCCACACTAAAATACAGATTATAAAACAAGTTAATAAAACTTCAAATATTTTTAAGGAATTAAGCTCTTCCTCTGTTAAGTGAGAATTAAAATATAACACTGACATATGCATAAGATAAGGAAATTTCCTCATGCAAATAATATATCCATCTTAATTCATAATTTAAGAATGCCTATTAAGAGGAGGAGGAGACAACTGTATACATTGGGGATATCCTCTATAACTGTATGCTCAGCTGTGTTTCAGTCTTTGATTGAAATACATGAAATCCTAATTTTTATATAGGTAGTTGTGGTTTTAAATTTCTATACTATGTACAATAGTATGTGAACATACTAATTAGTAATTCCATATCCGTTTTGAGTAAACGAGCAAAAAACATGATGCTGAGCTTGACTGTGCTATCAATAGTGTTAGATAAACTACAGAGAGAGAATATGGAAATAAACCTTGTAAATCCCACTGTGTTGAAGAGGGATAAGATACTAATTTATTTCTTCACCCAAATCAATCTTAGTAGCCACACAGTAATTATTAAAATAGCCATTATTAGAAATATAAAATGAGACTAATTGTGGAGGTTTAGTTTAAAGCTAAGAAAGGAGATGTTAATCTGAGACGAAGAGTTTAAATACAGAATTATGATATACTTGGCTTTCTGTAGTGTAGCTGTCAGGCTCGGGCAGTTCGCTGGTCAATAGTGACATTCTGTGTGTCAGTGAACAGAGTCTCCTGATACCTTAACCTGCAGTTCACACATTACTGAAGCTCCAACTGTCGAACATTCAAGTCCCTTGGTACTACTGCAGCTTCCAGACTCTCCTGACTGGCTCATGTTTCATTCTTTGGCAATTTGCCCTAATGATATCCCTCAGGAGCTTTCAGACCCTCTTCTTTTCCATATTTAATCGTGTTATATTAATCTGAGTGCTGAGCAAGCTATGCTGCACAAATTGTAATTGTCTCTGATTTCTGCTGCAATGGTCTTATAATTACTTTTTTCATTTTTACTGTAAAAATACATGTACAAAATTGCAGTATCATTTTTATTTACAAGTCTAAATGTCCAAGACAACCAGAGTGTGAAAGCTTTAACTGCTGATCTGTTCCACAAAGAGGTGGGGGTTTTTTTCCCCCTCTAAAATCCATAATGTTTTAGCACTTGCTGTATGGACAGGATTTACATTTTATTTTTAGCTCTTTGTTTTGTTACTGTGAAAGTACGTGTCTAATAAACAGCGCTATTATCAAGTTAAACTCAGATAGTGATTTTGTCGTGATACAAAACATTAGGACAACCTTGTCTTTTTCCATAAGCTTGGTGTCTTCTGTATGGGACATTCTCTTTTAATTTTTTTTTTTCCATGTCTTTATGAGGTTTGGAGTGTTTTATGTACTGGATATAGGCTTCCTTTTTTTTGAACAGTCATGACATTTTCTCACTCTGTTGTAACTCTGTGCCTGAGATATATATAATAAAATATTAAAGTATTAATATTCAGTTATAATAAAATAACTGAATTTCAAAGACTCCTCCCTCATAGCAAGGTGGGTTTTGGTAGATGAAATTTGAATTCTTTATGTATTGCAGATTATTTTGTTCACTTGAAGAATGAACTTGGCTGTGTTTCTAATGAATTCCATAGTTGGTTGTTGGTTTGTTTTGAGGGGAGGGTGGTGGTTGTGGTGGTTTTTTGTTTGTTTTAGAAAACCAAGGGATGTCCATTTTGAATGGGAAGCAGATTGTTGCACCTCCTTTCTTGGTCAAGGAGTCCTTCATTTTCCAGTGATGCTCATACCAGGCTTGGCATTCTCTGCTTTGGGAAGGGAGTTTTGGGAAATTGTAATAAAAAGTTGCTTTTCTGTCACAGGGAATATTAATTCCAGATTTTTTTTTAAGGTAGTTTTTTAAGTTTGGAAATCAAGATAGTGACACAAATAGCATTTAATCCTGCTTTTGAGTTTAGTGCTATTCTGTAGTTTCATGCAGGTTCAGATCAATTCCAGTTGTTAAAAATAGCAGAAATGGGGACCAAAAACTCTCCTGAGTCTTTCCCACTCATGGGAGGTGAGTGCAGCTAGGAGGCACTCCAGTCCTCTGTGTCCATGGCAGTACTCACGTTTGACCATGACTGCATCAAGTAATTCATGATTATTTCCCTTTTTTCAAGGAAATAGCTTAGGAGGGAGGACTAACTCGACTTGTTAGCCTGACTTCTTGCAGGTGTTGTACTTGTATGTATACATCAGAGTTCTTCGTAGATGCGTTTCAGCAATAAAAAATAGTATTAAAAATTAAATAATAGGTGGTTTGGGGAAGTTAAGACTCTTGCATGTGTAAAAGTTAATTTAAGATTTTGTATTTTCTTTTTATTCATGTTTTTTGTTGCCAATTCTCTGTGTGTATTTTTATTTTTAGTTAACTGCTTGTGTTCATGCGTCAGCTGCATTGTTATATCCCATGTATTGGCAACATATTTACATCCCAGTGCTTCCTCCACATCTTCTGGACTACTGCTGGTAAGACAGCTAACCTGTTATCCCCATTTCTGAGATTCTGACCTGTCTTGTATAACTGATGAAAATACTAACGAATTATCTGACTGAATACACAGGACCCAGGTTATGAAAGCACTTAAGCCAATGCTTAAATGATGACTTGAACAGAGATTTTCCAGCGTGCCTTGATGTGGTGTTTGAATTGGTACCGTGAATTACAGTGCTGATTACTATTAATGCAGCATTTAGAATCACGTTTGTAAAACTGTTCCCATTTTGTTGTTAGAGAATTCATTCAATAATTAAATGTGTTAAAGTTTTCTTTATTTATTTATTTTGAGATAAATGATACTTACAGAAGCATTCAGAAAAAAACCTGATCAGCTTTTCCAGAATCAAATGTTAGTAGGCATCAGTGTTCCCTTTTGGTCTATACAGTGATTTAGTATTTGTATTTTAGACTCAGCCAGGCTCAGGATTCTAGCCACCTTCCCAAAAGAGCTTAAAACTCCTTCTGGTACTTCCAAAATTTTCAGTATAAGAATTCTGTTCTCTTGATTTCTGTTCACAAGACAGACTTTGTGGTTTTGGCAAGTTTTTAAGTTGAACAAATCACTTTTTGAGTTGCTTCTGGCCCTTCAAGAGGGTGATGTTTCCACATTTGCAGGCTAAAAGATCTACTTTCTTTTATTCACAGTAGTGGCAGAGATACCAAATGAGAGTTTCCATTAAAGAATCTGCAACAGGAACCTCTGGAGATGTTCACTTTAACTAAACCCTATGGATTTGTTACAGAAAAAATGAACCATTTGAAGCTATTTTAGAGATTGGGAATTATTATTATATATAAAAACTGAGACCAAGTCAGATGCTTACCAACATAAGTCTGTTTTCTTCACAGAAATAAATTGTACGTTTGTTGGGCTTTATGTTGTTGATTTTGGTTTGGTTTTGTCCCCCCTTGGATCTATAAATATGTTGCTGTTCCAGCTCCACCCTCTCTGTTGAACTTTTGTTTTCAAACAAATTCTCGCTATGTTTCCTTAAGTCTCTTTGATAGGTTTCCCTCAAGTTTACAATATTTTCCCACTGTATATATTTTTCTGTGGTAGTTATTTCACTTCATGTGTATATTATTTATTGTTTTAGAAATCTATTCTTCTTCCACTCCTCCCGTTACTTCCAACTATAGCTAAGCCTTTCATCTTTAATGATAGTTTTCTTTTGAAGAAACTCTGTCCTAATTGTTTTTTCTTCCTAGCTTTGATAAAATGCACCAAGATGGGGTAGAGCTTGGATGTATTTGTTTAGTTTTTGTATTATTTCAGCTTACTGACAGAAGCTTTGTAATTTTTCAGTATCATCCATAAATGCTGTTCTCAGAAGGTAGATCAACACCTTTATTCAAGCTGTACCCTGTAGAGTGCATCCTGAATACTAAAAGATTTTTTTATTTCCCCTTCTAAGCACAGATAATGTTTCCAGAAATAAAAACGTTAGATGCTGTACACAGCTCCTTGTGATGATGATAATAGTTGAGATTCTAGGTCATTGTGGCGTGACCTGAGAATTTTTTTTACTCATTAAAAAGAAGCATGGAGTTTCTTAAACTTGTAAAATTCATTTATATCCCTTTTTATTTTTCACAGTAGTACAATAGAGCAGAGGAAAAAAGTTTCCCTTTTTTAGAGTTGTTCAAATGGAAACATAAAGTTCACGAAAAGAAATGCACAATTGATGAATTTACCACAGTAACTATAACTCAGACCTTTTAACTCAGATTTTCGTGCATTTACATTTCTCTTTCTGTTCGTGTCTGGTTTGAATGGTTCTTTTGTGAGATGGGTTGGAAAAGTGTAATAAAAACACATCAGTTACTTAGCTTTCCTCATGTTCTGGTGTATTAACAGTAAATAAATGTTCTCCTCATAGGTATATAATATATCAAGATAAAAAACCTTGATGAATTCTTAAGGTCAAAGTTTATGATAGGCCAGACCTAATTTGCAGTCCAACAGGATCATGTCAATTTAAAATTAATAAAGGATTTTTGAAATTATTTTTATTTGCCATTTTTAAAGTAATTTTGATAAACAAAGTTCTTTTTGTAAAGGTGCCTTCTTTCCTTTTAGCTCAACATGCATTTTCATACCTAGTAACTACATTGTCAGTGCTTCATTTGGACATTGTTGGGGTGTCTCCCATGAACTCATTTTCTTAGTGTTTTTCTGACATGGTGTTCAAATATATGAAGTAGGTGAATATCAATTTGATAATTTTGCTCATTCCAAGGTAGTAAGGCTTTTTTTAAACACCAAAAAATACATTTAAATCTACTAATTTAAATAACTATTAAATAACTACTCTGTAACTTTTTTTGCATGTTAATCATCCAGCATATTTGGAAAAAATCCACTTTTTTTAATATGAGTTGGACTATATATTTTCAAAATTTCATAAAGATAAGGGATATAATTCTGTATTGTTTAGAATCTGATAAATTACATGAACTCCCTAGCTGGTACATTTTGTGAGCATGAAAAAAGAAGAACGTATCTGGGAGTGAAACAGCTCTATATTAAAAATTATTCAAATTTTTCCACTTGCCTTTTTAATCAAAAAATCTGTTAGGTTCCATCGTGCTGCCTGATTTACAGGCTGGATTTAGACCTAACACGTTCCTGAAGTAGCCCAAACCCACAGAGCTGAGCATCAGTATGGATTGCAACACCCTCACGGTTGGCCAGGTTAGGAGTGCCTGCAGGGTCCAGTGTGTGAACATACTATCTATTTATTTACTTCAGAATGGTTTTTTGCCTCTATATAACTTATCTCAGCCTGGAACTCCATTATGAGAACTCCAAAGTGAGAATTGGAACAACCATCCAAAAAAGGAGAGATAATACATTTCTTTTTCTAAAAGATAGCAAAATATTAGGCTGTCAAAGTAATATTCATTGTAACTGTAGAGAAAAACACAGCAGAGTTAATAAAAAAATTGATTTTTCTTATTTTTTATAAAGAATTGATTTCTAAGTTTAAGTAAAAAGAGACTGTTGCACTCAGAAGAGTGGGTGGCTGGCTTTCAAGAAAACTCTTACAAAAATTAAGTTTGAACATTGATATAGCAATTATATTTGAATAAAATTAATTTTTGTAAAGGAGAAAGCTAATTTCATCAAATTTTTGTGTAATTTCTTGGCAAGCTAAATCACTGATATTAGAATGTATGACAGTTTTGTCTGTGGATGATAAAGCATCTGTTGTACTGATGCTCTGTTAAGAATATAATGCGATTAGAAAATTCAAGTTACAATTGCAATATGTTTTTATGAGATTTGGTCTCTTCTGAATTGGGATATACGCACGCCTGTTTTCCTGAGAATGGGACAATTATTTTCCAATTAACTTGCATGTTTTGCATAACATTGTAATTATTTTAGGCAATGATACTGGTAAATTAATGACATTTTTGGTAATAACATGCATAAGCAAGAGAAAAACCATATAGCAGCTCCCAGTAGTATCATAGAAAGCGCTTTCATGTACATATTAAAGTCCTCTGCTGTTAAGACTTCAAAATCCAGTAGTAATAAAATTTATTTTTTGCTGAAAATGATCAAATTGACTTTCCATACCTGCAGTTTTTATTTCATGCATTTTCAAGATGTGCTTTGTACCTTTATTCTGTTAACTTCAAAATTGAAATGATGTAGCTGTTACTCTGTTCTATAGAAAGGAGCTACGTGCTACCCTTTTTAATGACAGATTTATTAATGGAGCAAATCATCAGCAATTTTAAGTCAGTACAGGCCTGGTGAAGCTGCTAGAGCAGTATTGGTGTACAAGAAAACAAGTGTTTACAAAATCCATACATGATGTAGCACTTGTTTGCACTGTATTTTCTCTAGTTCACATTATTTGTAACACTGAGATATTCTGATATGAGCAACCTGAGGATCTATTTTGCTCATATTCAGCAGCAGAATCCTCAGTTACATGTCAGGCATAGTCATTCTTATAATTATAGAGTGTTTTAAAGCTGTTTAAATGCTCTCTGAATATAAATATGTGTCTGCTCTGGAGTGACACTCATTTACAACTCCATGTAATTTGGATGTAGTTCACAAAGGCATAAGGATTAGCCTGGATGAAGTCATCAGGAGGTGCTAATATTTGTCAGTATTAGGCTAAGAAAAAGATGTGTAGGAGAACAGAGGTCTCTATTTTCCGTTTTGGAAGTCCCATTGCAAAGAAACCTTTAGCAGTTTCAGCAAACCTATATTTTGATAGCATAAACATGATGAAATCTTGTTTGAGCCTCAGTCAGCCAGGGTTTTTGTTTGTTGGTTTTGTTCTGGGTTTTTGTTTTTTTTTTTTTTTTGTTGCATTGATCCTCTCCGATGGGACATTGTTAATGAGAGCAATTGGCTAATCCATAGGGTGTACAGATTTTTCTAAAAAGGGCTGCAGTTGCAGACAGGTGAGAATTGCTTCTTGACTCCCAGAAGTGGGACCAAATGGATGAGACCACGTGAACTGATGCAGTGAAGCCTCTCCCCCATCCTCAGGAAGTCAATTGCCAATGAGTCAGTGCCAGTGGCTCAGATCTGGGATCAAATTAGTGCAATGAGAGAAATTACTATATGTGAGCTATTTGTGTAACTTTGTATAAGTCATCTTACAACCCATTTCTTTTTCAGAGATTCTTTTTATTTAGGTTTTTTTCTCTGTGGTCTGTTAATGATTCGTTTCCCACTTGAGTTCTTAAGTCATCCTGTTTATTGCTCGTTTGTCTGGAGTGAATATTGTTAGTAATCTCGCAGTGCCCAAAAGTATGATGATGATTGTTGGATGATTTTTTCCTTCAGCACTGGATATATTCTTGGTCAGATGTTGACAGAACATATGCACTAGAGGAAGAAGCAGAAGATTATAGGAAACAATGATAAATGAGCCTGACTAATTTAGTTTCTTGCTTGCATACTGCAGGAGGTCTTAATTCAGAGGCTTTGTATGGATATTTGTTTTGTTTGGATAATACAGTTCCTTGTCTTACACAAATTGGAAAGGAGAAGTTCATTATCTTCAGTTAAATAGGATATTAATACAGCTTCCCAACACCTGCCAGGAAGGGTTTCAGAACCACATTCAGAACCAAAACTGGTGTTAACAATGTTTGTGTTGCAGTGTGGTAGTGTTAACTGGTACCATATTCTCCAGAGTGGTGTTTTAAAACCCATGTAGTTCTGGAGACAGGCCACTTTGGGATCATCTGCTGGGTTACCTCTGCCATACAGTATGGCAGTTATTGAAACTAGGTCTGGCAAGGCAGATGGCAAGCTGTAGAGTCTCCTTGCTCATGCATCATAGTTTGGAGCAGTGTCCTTTATTTTGTGCGGAGTAAAGTAAATTTTCCTTGTCTGGTAAATGTTTCAGTAGTAACTGTGTTAATCTAATACTGGCTTAAACAGTGGATGTTTACTAGTGACTTAAATGCCAAGATTTAAAATATCTTTTTTGCTCCACAAATATTGGTACTTAAAAGTTGATCTTTTCCACTTTTTTTCTTCAGTGCTCCAATGCCTTATCTAATTGGCGTCCACTTAAGCTTAATAGAGGTAAGTTCACTGTATGCTTCAGTCTACTGGTAAGCATGAGGTGTGTGTATCATAAATGATAATTTTGATGGAAAAGCTTCAGAAAAAGTCCCTCTATTTTAGCATACAGAATTACAAAATTCAAGCTTCAGATGTTTTACTAAGTAAAATATGTCTCTCTTTGAAATCTTACTTTTGAAGTGTTTTATGGAGACGTGTAAACTCTGCATCATGATTTGTCTCTCTGTCTATTAAAGCTCAACGATAGCTGTTTTCCTGCCTTTTTAGTGGTTCAACAACAGATTTGCCCAATAATGAAAAAACTTAAAATTTATTTTGGGGTCACCATCAGTCAGATTTCAGCATTAGTGTTATTTCCCAGATAATTTATGTTCCTGACCCTCTGAACATTTGAGTCAAACCTCCATCCCATAACATTCATAACTATTAATTTAGAAATGAGTATTTTTGCCAAAAAACAAGTGGTAGCCATTTCAGATTTGAACGTAGAGCTCGCCTGACTGGTAAGTAATAGCTGGATGATAAATACTTTTGGCTTTTTCCATAATCATTTGATGACACCATTAAACCTGCATGCGTCATCTGAATATCGTGCAGAGTAGATAATTGATTGGGGAACATTATTTGATTTACACTTCTGCTAAAGCAGTTTCTAAGCATCAATTCACATTTACTAATCTGATGAGGTGGGTTCTCCCCAGGTCTGAACCACCAGCACTTTTGTGTTCCCAAAAAAGGGCCTTCTATCATCTACACTTCTTAACTCCAGTCACAGCCTTCCATACTCTCACATCAGATTCATATGACCTGCATGCATTGATTGTAATATCTTGACTAGGATGTTTTTTTCTTATTCAATCAGAAAATAAAGGAACACAAAGACTAGCTCTGAAAAAGAAGTCACTCAATTCCTTCTGGAATTATTTCCTGGACTGCATTATTATGTATTATTGTAGGACCATATAGAGAAAAGAGTTCTATCCCTTTTTCCTGAAGGGAACAAATTGTTTAGTTCTTAGGTGGTAGCCAAGTACGCTGATGAAAGAGGGTTTCATTCATTTGTCTATAACTAGTAGACATCACATGCCCGAGACTTAGATAAATCTGCAAAAAATTACTTTGGTTTTTTCTAGTTTTCATCTGATTATACAATTAACATCCTATCTGATTTTCACAAAGATGAGAGAATGAAATGTTATCATAAGATATGTATAGTTCCAATATACTTAACTGTGTTCTGTGTAAATCTTGGTTTTCAAGAATTCATTTCTTGAATATGTTTGTATTTCAGAGATTATTAATGTAACCTTAGTGTTTGAAGAATAGGAAATGTTTTTAAAAACTACTCTGAATGCTGCATCTAATTCACAAATCCTACTTCCAAAGTTCCAGCTGTTGTTTTTGCTATTATTGCCCTTTGTAAAATCATCATTTGTAATCTAGCACATTGTAATAAAATGTATTTCAGGAGGATGCCACAGTAAATTGCTTTTCCACTATTTTTTTCTTCTTAACAGAGAGTAAAAAGTAGATCACTGGAGGATGTGGTTTTGCTAAATGTTGACACAAACACTCTAGAAACCCCTTTTAATGACCTGAACAACCTACCTGGTGAAGTGGTGAGTCTTAGATATTTCATTCTTTCTTTCTTATATGGGTGCTTGAATTACTAGTAGTTATTTTTGCCTCATTTTGCTAACTGCTATAAAAAGAATAAGGGGGTGAAAAGCACCAAGCGTAGACCCCTACATTTGAGATTTTTACCTTTTTGACAGTTGCAGAGATGTTGAATGGAACATCATATTCCTTATTGTAGAAGTAGGATCATAATTATAAAGCCGGCTGCATTCATTAGGCATGGCTGCTTTAAACGCAAGAGCCTCTTCATCTCATCTTAATCATTATATTACAAAGTAGGCATTTCTGTCTGCCTAGTGGCATGTCTTGCAAAAGAACGAGAGAGTTTTTGAAGGCAAAAAGAAGAAGGGGGCCAATTATCGGCTTCTGCTTCTCTGCCACCTGCCAGCGCTTTCCTTTTAATTAATGATCTGATGGCACTGGTCAATATAATAAGAAATGCTTGTACAGTTGGGGTCAGAAAATTCAGGCTTTGATCTTCTTCAACTTTCTGAAACATTTATTTGTTTTCTCTAAATTATTTCAGTTTTATTTTAATCTCTTCTATCCTGCTGAGGGCTGCGTGAATGAAAACCTATACTGTTTGTCATTTGCTTTGGCAGAGCAAAGACTGCTTACTTAGAATTCTATTTGTAAATTAAACTGCAAACCCAGTTTGTCATAAAAGACATCTGATCCTTTTGAAATGACGAAAGCTGTCTTTTGTCTGTAAAGGATGATAAATTAAGTGCCAGTTCTTTCTGGACTTTGATCTTGCAGAGGGTGCCCCCCCTGCTTTTTTTTTTTTTTTATTGCCTATAGGGGAACATACTCTGTATATCACTTTAAATAGCCACAAAATTCACTTATCTTGCTTTTCCCAGCAGAGCTCTAAAAGAATATAATTGTGAAACCACCGTTTTCATTATTTAGTCATAGATGCTCCAGCTATCACAAATAGTTGCCAAGATAAAGAATTTTATATCAAAATGTGAAATCAGAGAGTTAAATTTTCTGAAATTTTAAATCATAAACCCCCCCCCATGTTCTAATCAGAATAAGGTGCTATAGTGACACACTGTGTCTTTTGTTATTGTTGGTAATTTATATATATTTGCTACAGTAGAAATCAAACTCTTGATGATTATATTCATGACAGTTCCCTTTGATTTTAATGATGTTAAAATCTAGACTTTTTACAGATCATCGCAACAGTCTTTCTTTGGACTCAGTAAGAGACTATAAAAACTGTTGTGATTTACATTAGTGTATGGAAAAGTATATAAGTGCACACACCCATATACAATAATTTCGACTCTATCGTTCAAGAGTATTACAAGTTAAGAAAAAAATGAGTCATTTTCTGGTGTGTCAGTAATTGTAACTGACCTTGCATTCAGTGAATAAGGTTGAGGCTATAATGCCATAAAGGTCCATACCTCTTCCCAAATAATAGCTCGATATGGAATTGAGAATTTGGCATCATATTCCATGAAATACTGGAGTTGTAGCTGGAGGTCCTTCAAAAAGTCAAAATGTATATTTGTGCAATGAGAGGCACTGCTCATGTATTTTACAGGTGCATATCAAAATGATCTCTAAATAAGTAGACCAGCATGAAGACAATAGGGATACAGGTGTTCATACTTTTAGAAGTATATTCTCTCCCAGAATATATGCATATTATTATTATAAATATTAATGTAGATTATACAAGTCTACAGACTATAGAGTAAACTTAAAATACTTTGTTCCATATCTAATATAAAACAGAACAACTATGTTCTTTGAAAAATATACTTGCAGAATTTGAGGATTTTATATTGAAGCTTTTAATTTGGATAATCCCATCTCTTACTCCACTTCAGTCTGTAAAGCACTTTAATTAAAACAATTTAATGGAATCCATATACAATTATAGTTGGAAAACCTGGAAACAAAAAGCATAGACAAAAGGCACAAGTCTGTGTTTGACTCTTAGGATTACAAAATGCTTGTCTTTGTTTTGCATTCATGAGGGGCAGTGCAGCTGCTAACATCTTGAGTAAAAAGTGTAAGACACAGGAGTGTAGAGTCAAATTGGTAATTAGACTTAAAACATTAAAGCTAATGTCAAAGATATATATGTGAAGCATTTTAACTTATATAGACAAACCTCATAAGCGTACATACAAAAGTAGTGAAACTTTTGATGAAAAAAATATAATGAATACCTCTGAAGAACATTAAATAGAACGAAGAACTGAAAATGTATTAGAAACTGTAGTCTTACTATCCCTTTCAAAAATTGATTCCAGGTTGCTTAACAGCCTAACAAAAGAAATGCAGTATTTTCAGAGTTTTCTAGAACTGTTTCTTGTGTTCAAATGAAACAGGGTAATTATTTTCTGATCAATAAGCCTGATGATGTCCTCACAGCATAGCTATTTAATAGTTTAGCCACCTATAAGTAATATGTCTACTAAAATGCTCTGGTTGTGAATTTTTTCATGATAAATTTAAGATTGAAAGAAACATTATTATGTGGCATTGTCTAATAAACTATATAATAAATTAACTGAGATTTAAAGGCATTTTTAAATCATTCACTTAAGCATTTAAATTATAGTTACAGGCTAGATGACTTTCTATGCATGTGAACTCTATTATTCTGTCAGACTGACCAGTGGTCTTGACTGTGCAAAGGTCAGTGGTCACAGTTGTCCTGAATTACCAGTCCTTTTTTCATGAGGACCCTCTGCTGCGTTGCATGCTGTAATCTTCTTAATGGCTTCATTCCAATATTCACACATAATATTTTAGATTTATTGACTGTTAGAAATACTACCATGCCAGTAGCAGTTCCGCTACTCCTAAGGTATTTAAAATTGGAAGAATAAATCAGGGCAAGACTTTCAGGAATCCTTTGTTTTCCTAGAGGGGGGAAAACCCCTCTTTTTCCTCTCGTCTGACAAGAACGCTTGTTTTTAAATTTCATCATTTCACTGTGAATTTGTCTATTATTTTTTAATTTAAAAAAAATGAAAATAAGTAGCTACTTCTGCGGGAGTAGATTTCCTAATACAAGAATGCTGAGATCACCACTTCAGTAATTTGTTGGCAAAAGAACATTTGTTGCCATAGACTGAAATTTATAAACTTTGGGCTTGATCCTGCAATACCTGCTTGCAGTTAACTCTGACAAAAAGACTATTCCTTTGCTCAAATTCGAACACTTTCCAAAACAGCTTGGAGGATTGACAGCATTAGTTTTAGCAGCCAAGTCTTACTGTCTTAGAATCATAGACTGAGAAGAACTTTTTTAAATATCATCTTCAGAAAACAATTGACTTTATAGGTTTTTAGCTTCTTCTGTGGTGGTTAAATGTTGTCAACTGTAAAAGCTACAGAGCTGTTGAAAGATGTACAGTCTTTGTAGTGCGTGGTGCCTACACACTGAGATGCAATACAGAATCTAAACTAGGGTTTAGAGTTTTAAGTTTGAGATTCCTAAAGTCAGAGGATTTTAACACCATAAATTGGGCATATGAACATTACTGTTCTAAGAGTAGCATTTGAGAAATAGACTGTATTTCATGTAGCAAACTGGTTACTTTATAAAGCAATTACTGGGAGTGCAAATTATTTCTGAAAATATGATGATTAATGGAATTATAAAGAAATTGAGGTCACTGTATAATAGTGCAACTAAAAAGATTTTTGGAAAAATGTAAATAGCATAATTTATGGTGTTACTTCCATCAGAAAATAGCCAAAAATATTACTAATATATTTTAGAATCTCAGAGCAGTCAACAGTGTTTGCAGTGTTATGAGGCAACTGTTTATTGTGAACAAATTCTTAGAGCTGCAGTTCTGTTCAGCCTTGATATAGCCTTAGAAGCTAGAATGTGAGATTGAAAAGTACAACTAGTATTGAAAACATTTGCATTTAAGTGGTTGTTTTCATCTAAATGAATGTGTGATTAAATGCTGGAGGGCTCTCTGAGATGCCTAAATCCTGTGTGTGTAGATAGTATCAAGTGTGTAGAAGCCCTTTCATTAGCAATACTGATTTAGATAATATCAGATTCTAGTTTGTTTTAAGATTTCTGTTTTGTTCTTCTTCTCTGCCATCTTCTCTCACTTTCTTGCTGTTGAGAGTGGGCTGACTTTTATAGTAGTGTCATCTCATGGGGAACATCAAAAAATAGTTTAAAACATAACAACTGTTGCTGACACCAGAGAAGTACCTGGATGTGGTTTTTTTTCAGAGACCTGGTGGTCTTTGGGAACCCCAGTGCATGGTTCTGTATTTCTCAGACAACTAACATTTTTAATACTTCTGTATGTGCTTAAATTTACATGTGTGCTTAAGTTTTTGCAGGAACAAAGATTTTGATTAATAGTTATGTGATATTATTAACTTTTTAATTTTATGTAATTCTTCTACTCATGTGGTTATTGAAGAGGTATTAGTTGTGGTTTCTTTCTTTCTGAGATAGTTCTATTTTAGGAATCTTAGAAAGGACATATGGTGACCATTTAAATAAATGATGCTTTTTGTTTTAATGACCAACACAAGATGTTTCTACATTTTAGATACACTTAATTACATATCAATCTCATTACTTTCTATATCTCTGAAAAGCTATTCTGTTGATTTAAACCTTCCTGAAACTCAGATTGCTCTTCATTGGCAGTCACCTTCTGATGAGAAGCTGTTGCTAGGAGAAGATAAAAACAGTTTGCTTCTATTGTAAATTTATAATACCTTTTCTGAAGCGGATCTCTAGTGTCTTCCAGAAATAAATTTTAACAGCATTCTAACCCCTGTGGTTTGTTTGTTTGCAGTTCCTTTATTTTTAAACTTTGTAAAAGGCTATTTCTGCTTAAGACATGCAAAGAATGGGAGAAAAAAGTTTGGCATTCTTAATCATAGATAGATAAATGGATTAAAATATATATGAGGAAAACATTTTGATACAGATGCTGCTTGCTGTTTTTTTGGCTTGGTGCCAGAATTTTGTAATTTTTTTTTAAATTTTAAGTGCTATTAATGATGTCACCGAAAGGGGTCTCACAGTTCTTTGGTTTGAGGTGCATGGATCTAAGCAATCACAATCCTGCTGTGCACCAAGTCCTCCAAGTAGTTCAGAGCACCCAGTCTCTTATCTATACCGACTCTATTTACTGTAATAACTACTTTAGCATTCTATCTTTGATTAAATGGAACTGGGAGAATTTGACATTAACCTGCCCAAATGCACAGCTTGGCTGATGGGTGGGATGAGCACTGAGGAAGCACTGACTCTCTGCTTGCATATTGCTGACCTCAGCCTGAAGGAAACCAAGGCAGGTCCCAGGGGCACTTCAAGCGTGCTGCAGCCAGGGTTCCAGTCAGAGCAACTGGGAAATCAGGGTTGTGGCTCACATTATCTCTGCAGGCTTTTTCTTAAGAGCACTGTGCTCCTGGTTTTTCTGCAGAGTGATCTGATGGAACTCTTCTTGCCTTTAAGCATTGCCTCCTGAGAGAAGCAGGAATTGGAGGAGCTTTCTTTGAACTCCAGCATAGCCTTTCTGGGGCTTGAACTCCCTCCAGAACAGCAGCACAAAAATGTGCATCTGCCTGGAGAACCCACCTCCAAGCTGCCAGCCTATTGGGATGTTCTTAATATTGCTAAATAATACCATACCAGTACGGCAGAGAAGAGGGAGATTTGTTGCTTTCTGTTGTTCTTTTTAACGTGTTTTTGCCTAAAGCATCCTATTAATCGAACTGAAGGTAGGGTGCATAGGGCTTGCCAGAACTGAGAAAATTAGACAATACCATTTTCCTTCACATTCTCCACTTTCTCATGTAATGCCTCTACTCTTCATCATCTTTACCTGCTTTCTTCTTTTACCCTCTCTTATCATCTGCCATAATTTCCCTAAACTCACAAGGTATGATTTAAAAGAATGTAGATTTAAAAGAATGTAGAGAATTTTCTACCTTTTCCCTCCTTTATATTTAGAAGATGCATTGCTTGTCATAAAAGAGACAAAATTTTAACGTTGACAGTTCTTTTTTTGACCTCTTGTTACTGCTTTTATTTTAGTCAAACTAAGCTAACATCAATGGGCAGATTTTCCTTTACCCAGGATATATGCATGTATTTTCCCCAGAGCGAAAAAAACCTTATTTTTAATAACTGTAGAATAATCATACAGTACAGAACCAAAAAGAAAATACCCACAAAACCAAGACATGCATTTATTTCTTCAACCTTGAACTTCTTAACTGTTTTTGTACTCAGACTTGTACTTTTTTTTTTTTTCCTTTTGAGGTGTAAGGAAAAAACGTAAATGAGCCTTGGTGTATGCTTTCCATGGGCTAAACGAATCGGGCTCTAAACTTTTATATAGATCTGTGGAGCTTGGATATAAATTGAAAAGATCACAGCTATGGGGAAAAGACCTATACTGTAAAGGCCTTTCTGCATAGATTATGAACATCGTAACTCAATAATTTTTTTTTCAAAACTATAGTTATAATTGGACCCAATGGGGGACTCTCTCTTTGATCAGATCACAGTAACTGTGACTTTACGCTGGAAAATGTCACTACTGTGAAGGTTTATCACCTGTAGAGCTGGTCTTTTCTCTGATGCCATGTTCAGTTCTCATTAGCATTATTCAAAGTTTAGTTGTTAATTAGGTTGACACTTCAATTACAATCATCATCTACAAGAGCAGTCAGGACTGCTTGCATAAAGAAACAAAAAGATACTCATTCTTTCGTATATTTCCAAAAGAATGAAAGCTGTTTTGGTGATAAGTTTGTACTTATAATGTTCTGTTTAAAGAGTAACTCTGAATGTTACTTTGTTTAGGGACTTATATAATGCTCTGTTGGGTATATTGTAATACAAACTTAACAGAAAGATGTATTCTACATAATTGGAGTTGACTTATATCTCCAGGTGTCCCTCATGATGGAAATTAGGAGAGTATAGACTACATGTGGGTGTAATTCCACATATCTTTCAGGAATACTGCAACAATTCCAGAATTATGTGATTTTCCTCCAAAGTGTGTCCAAGTAAGGATGATCTAAATTAAAATGTCCCTTCTTTTCTCTAATTCTGTATAATCAGTGGTTGTCATTTGCCAATTAAAAAAAGACAGACCTCCTTAAAAAAAAAGTGAACCACTATAATAAGAATGTTCGGGGTTTTTTTCCTTTTAAAGTAAATGCCCCTTGTAATTATTGTTCTTATTTTTTTTCCTTTTCACATGTTTTATATTTGAGGACAATTCTAAAGGCATTGTAGCACTGAATTTACACAAAATTTTCTCAACTGTTTGAAGGGGTAGCAGGTACTCCCATAGTGCATGAGAAATGATGTAAGATAGTAATTTGACTTAAGAGATATTCCCTGAAACTGAGTAATAAGTGAACATTAAGGGTCCTTAAAAATAAACCTTCATAGCATAAATAAAACGTATCCAGCTGTCTTCATTCAAACAAGTAAGTACATGTTATGATGAAAAAAAATCTGCAGAAAAGTGGCTCACATGAATTTTACTGTAAAATAATTAAGCTTATTTATGTCAAGAGGCCTTGGAAAAAAAAAAAGAGAGCATAAACCAATTTACATTAACACTCTACCATCATCCCCTGCTTTCATTTCAATTAGCAGACCAGCAGGTGCTCTTTGCAGTTAAAAAGATAAGCTATCAAGGAGGAGGATGAATTTTTGGCTGACCTGTAGACACCATGGTTTGCCTGCTGATTGGGTTCATACCTCGCTGTACCAATTTCTGAGGTGTTAATTTAACTGTTCCACTCTGTCGTGCAGGTCTCGGCCTTGAAAAATAAACTGAAAAAGCAGTCCACAGCTACGGGCGACGGAGTAGCCAAGGCCTTTCTTCGGGCACAGGCAGCACTGTTTGGATCCTACAGAGATGCACTAAGATACAGACCAGTAAGATGGCTTCATTATTACTTTTTCCCCTTAATTTGTAAGAGCATGGTGTCATTCTTTGCAAGGAAAATATGAAATGTTTTATCCCAGTCTGAAACAGCCTGTTTTAAATCTTACTCTATGCTAAGGATACGTTGACACTACCATCTCCTGACAGTGAGTTGTACTGAAGAATAAATATTCATTCAAAGTCAGCTATTCTCTAATTTGTATCAGTTTTATAACTTATTTAGTATAAAATGAGATTGTATTCATGAAACTGCTTACACACAGCTCACCTGATTTAATGTGGTGAAGAACTGAAGAGGCTGTGCCTTTCAAACTCCACCATTTTTCACTGTACCAGTCCAGAGACTTTGCTGTGTTTGAGGCCAGAATCTTATTTCCTAGTAAACACCAGATACGAGTCAAACATGCATCTCTCATATTATAGATTTGTCTTGATTACTCTTAGAATTTAGGAGAAATGAAAACTCATTTCATCCCCTCAGAACTTTTTTCTGATATTTTGCTGGTACTCAGTCAATTAATGTGTTATGGACTTTCATCATTTCTGGTTTATGAGGGTGGCACATATTGAGCCTTTTGGAGATAAAATAATTTACCAGAAAAAAACTTAGAGATTCATTTTGTCTATCACTCCAGGCTATTTTCCTATGATACTTGCAAACTGCTGGTAGTAGTTCCATTTGATAAAATGCACTGAGATGACATTGGCTAAATTGGATTCCATGGATACAATGTTTGTTTGTCTGATGAATTCAGGTAAATATGGAGATTTGATAGAAGAAAATCATCCTCACTTGAGGAGTCAAGTTTGTAAAGCTGGTGGATGTTTGTTTGGTGGTAAGGAACACGATGCATTCTGTTGTTGGGTAAGGAACTATGTGGTTTTCCTTGATGGAAAAGGTCTCCAGATGAGCCTTTTACTGGGGGGAACATTAAAATACAGCATGGCACAGTCTTCCTTCTACCCAATTGGTTCTCTTACAGGTGGTCTTTTTTGCATTTTGCACACGAGGTGTCTGTGCCACTGATGGATGGCCTTTGTCACTGAGATGGAAAGTAACCCGTTCAGAAATGAAGTCGTGTTCAAGGGTTTAGTTCAGGTGTTTGTGTTTGGCAGTTTTCATATGATATGGAAAGCCAGTCTGCATAGCATATTGAAATGGCTGCACCTGTTTTAAAAAATTGCTGGATTTCAACACTTTCCCTACTTGTTTCAGTAGAATAAATAATTTCAGCAAATCAGATAGTGTGGCATTATGCAGCCTTGCTTTAGGAGGGGTTCTCTGATTTGTTCTCTAGTCTAAAGGTGAGGACACTAGTCTGTGTTGGCTCATGGCAACCTGCAGTAAGAGCTGTTAAGTCAAAAAATGTCTTAATCTACATTCGATACATGTGAACAGAATGTCAGTCTGGTTGATGTCCTTAGCTGTGTTCTGACCAGGAATAAGCTTCAGTCAGTCCTTTGTTTTGGTAACTGTTGAACTGAATGTGCAAGTTCTTTAGCATCCCAGTTTGTATCTCTATTGAAATGAGCTCTCCTTTAACTGATTTCCATTTTATTTCATTTTTGCAGTTGGCATATCTGAGATATCTACATTTGTACTGCATTGGAAGTACTGCACTATGCATCATTTGACTGGCAGACATTTGTCAAAGTGACCTTTGAAGTCTTTCTTTCTGCATTGTTTTCTTTTGCAGATTTATCTTTTCTTGGCTCCACTGATTGCGTGTCAGAGAAGATATTTATGAAACCATTGTGACCTGATTATTTTTTTTTTAAAGACACGTTATTTCAGAGTATCTTAGCAGGCAGAAGTGTGCTGGCAAATACTAGCTTATCCTGGATTGATATCAACTTGTCCAAAGACAAAGCATATTTAAAAATAAATAAGAAAAGTGTAATGTTTATTTTGTGCCGTGTTCACATTATCTTAACTAATTTAGGATTTGACAGAATTTTTATTCTGAAAGAAAATTTGAATTAGCTCTGGATTAGTAGAAACTAAGAGGAGTTTTCTCATGATTGTTCAGCTCATTCCACATTTGCCTTTTGCATTGTGGATTGGGAAGCTCAAAAAATCAGATCACATCTGACTTTATTAGGACTATTTCAAGAGTCTCAAAACTTGAGAACTGTTTTGGCAAAGAAAATACTTCTCTTTGTTTTGGAGTCTGTGGTGCTAGGTGTAATAAGGTAATCTAAACCACAGCTATGGACTTCACTTTCTTTCAAAAGCTCAAGTAGTATTCTTGGAGAAAATTTGCAAGGGCAATACTTAAATGAAAATATTTTCTGTATAGATTTGAAATCCTTTTGCTATAAATAAGCTTGTTGTATTTTCAAAATCAAGAACTGAGAGGTTTTGGGGGGTAGCATTTTGAGGATTGCAAACATCCTGATGAAGAATAAAATAATGTATTTGGATAGTTATCGATTGCTGGAAAGGTGAAAAATATGTTCAAGTGGACTGTTTTCCTTGCAACTGTGTCCTGTATGATTTTTAACTTGAAACACGAAACAACTGTCATTAATATTCACTTTGAGTAAAGAACAGCTTTAATAGTGTCTGTACTCATCCAACACTTCTCTTCACTCCCAACGCTGTTCATCACACTGAACACTCATTCTGTGCAACTGTTTGTTTTCAGCACAGGACAGATTCTCCTCGGTGTAGCAATATGTCTTGAACAAACGTCTAGCAATTATTGAAAAAAATGATTGGTGAAAGGGAAAATGGGAATCTTCAGAGGTCTTGGAAGGAGTTCATGGGACTCTAAAAGACCATATGGAAAATCTGACTACTCTAATACAGACAGAAAATATGACATGTAATAGATAAAGGTGATAATATTTTTTGTGTGTATTAAATGATAATAAAAAACTTAATCCAGTAAAAGTTTCCAAGAAAAGTAGAAATTGTTGTTTTTTTCTGATTTAATTATGATACTAAATTAATCTATCAAACTGATATAACTGCCAAGAGTGTTTTTTTTAATATGTACACTTTACATTAGCAAATATTGCATAATAGGAGTGGATCTGCAGGGCAAACCAGCCCAGCTGGTGGGCTATAGTGCGCACAGTGTGCATTTCTGGCTCTGTTGTGTTTCTCATTTTAGTCTGGTGTTGAATGCTGAATACCTGTGACTAGCTAGAGCTCTGCTTTAGTTTAATCCAGAAGGAATCCACTTCATGCATGGTAGGTGGGGATGATTGAAAAAATTGCTTCAGTGTCATTATGATCAAAAAGTAATCCAGAAAAAAGTATTATCAGCAGAATGGTGAATTATAATGGTTTTGTTTTATATGGTCTCATTCGTGTAGAGAACTGCAATCATTTTGGAGACCTTGGGTGAAATGCTCTGACAGGGGAATGCACATGACCTGTTTGGGGGGGATTTCCAGCAGTGGCAATGAGGCCATTGGAATTGTTTTGCCATAAGGAGCCCTGGAATACAGAAAGGCAAGCGGTCAGTGTGTTGTTGTTCTCACTCAGCCAGCAGCTGCAGTGGGAGCCACTGTGCAACATCAGTGATCACAAACAGTTTTGATCACTAGAGTCTAACCCTGCTGAGGCATTGCAGTAGCAGTGTTGTGGGATAAATGCTTTTTACATCATGTAAATTCATATACAAATCCAAATTATGTTTGCTTTGGGTGCTTACAACCTGGTCTTGAACCTTTTGTTGCTCCTAATTTCTTTAGGTAGTTCAGCATTTGGGGATTTATCATGGATAATATCGCATATTTCATGTTTCAGAATTGCATGCACAGGTAGGACATAGATACAAATATGGCAATTTGTGCAATTTGTGTAATGTTGTCGTCAGAATATGTGCGACATTGGGGGTTTCCTACCTATTTTACTTTACACGTTCTTCCTTGCATGTACATGGGCAAACCTTGCTGATGAAAGCAAAGACTAGTAAATTTTTTTTCATTAGTCATATGCAGTATTGTCAGTTAATAAAACAATATATGATGTAAAGAATTCTTAAAAAGGCAATATTCAAAATCTGTATCTAGAGAGGGAGAGGCAGACAATAGAATGAAGAAGTAGTTAAAAAATAGTGCACCTAAAAGTGTTCACCATGATAGAAATTAATTTTAACGTCATCAGAAAAAATAAGCATAGCAGAAAAGTTGTATGATTCTAAGCAGCAAACATCTGGAGGAAATTCAGGTGTGGTATTTCATTTTTTATTAAAAAAATGGCAAGAAGAATACACTTCAAATGTACTTCAAATAAACAAAGCCTATTACTTTATGACACTTCTATTAAAAAATGAAAAATAAGGAACAGTAACTTATTTTCTGCCTTTGAAAAGTTGGCTTTTTTCAAGAATTATCTAACAAAAGATGAAGTCATTGAAAAAGATCACCTCTTTTGGGGAAAAAGTCCTCAAAGCTCTAGATGTTAAAACAAAAGAAATAAACCCAGAGTAGCTTTGTGTTAAGTTATGATGGTTGTAACATCACTCATCAGAAATTAAGAAATGAAGAGCAAAGGCTAATGGCTTGCTCTGAAATACTCAGCAGTAGGAGTTCATGGTCTCATCATCACACCAGGGGGCCAGGATAACTTCCATGTTGAAGATAGCACAACCTGTCAGACCTCACTTTAATTGAATGCTAACTGGAGTGCTTTGGGCCAATATTGACACTGTTTTAAGTAGTGACATCAGCTGTCCAACAGATGCCAAGTATTGCATTCAATATGCAATAAATCAAAATAATACAATAAAATGTTATATTGGAAATAAAAATATTTTGAGATTCAGAATGCACCTGAATTACTTGAGAATGCATAAATAATGATTGATTGTAATTGAGTTTCAAAATGAAACCTTTTGAGGACAGGTGTCTCTTGAAATGAGCATTGACTTGTTTATCTTTCTCCCAAGAGTGAAGTATAGAAAGTACAGCAGAGTACAGAAACAAGAGTAATGAAATGCCAGAACATAGTTTGTGTATAAATCCAGGACCACTCAGTGGAATAAAAAACAGAGTTATGACTATTGTGACTTCCATAAGACTTCTATTTTACATGGTGAAAACCTTATTGTTTTATTTGTCTTAAGGACAGTGGTCCTTTCTTGAATATAGGCATTGTATTAATAGAAGTTGTTGTAGGAGATAATTGTGACTATAAGAAATATCAGCATATTTGAATTTTTTTTTTTTTTAGCAGATTACAAAAAATTTACAAATTTGGGAGAAATTGGTTTGTAAATGGTAACTTCCTGAGTAGAATCATCATGCTCATTTATCCCTTGGCCTTTTATCTCTGAATGTCATGACAGCAGATGAAATTTCAACTTTGTACTTCCTTGATTTTAAAAAGAGAAATTTTAATATCTAAACCAAAATGGTACTTAAAATTATGGTGTTTTTAAAAAATAAATTATAAAAAACCCAATGAAGCTATGGCCATACCTACCTGCCCTATATTCCTCATGTAATAAGTGAGAGCTGCCATATGAAATTATATGAATTGTTGCAATAGAACTAATAGTTGACATGAGTCATCTCTTGCTAGAGTGATGCAATGTTTTCTGAAATAAAAAATTAAAATATTTGTACTTCTTGTTCAAGTTAAATATCACTAGATTTAGAAAGCACAAACATACTTTCTAATCCAGGTTATTTTTCCTTTTAAAATGATCACACTGGTTTAGCTCAGTTTTCATGTTCCATTGAGGTCTGTATAAATAGCGTACTTAAAATGTGAATGTAGCTTAGAGCAAGAAATTCCTGCTGTGTGTGGCAAGCTATGAAAGGGAAAGAAAATTCTATAGCAACTGTTGTTAAAAGGACAGATATCATGTTTGGGCATAGATTGTTTGGTCTGAGTATTAGCTGTCTACTTTTCAGTACAGAGTCCCCACTGGGTTTTGATCGAACTTGTTTTGAAAGTACATTGTAGATCAATACGACAGGGGCCAGTTGATGGTCTGGTAGTTAAATAACAGTGAAGCATTCATCCAAACCTCAGTTTCTAAAGGTAGTCAGCTGTATTTACAGAAACAAGAATGTTACAAGCTTTACATATGAAAGCATCTAGGGCTATTTTTGTTTATATTGATCGAGTAATTTACTAGTTAAATACCACTTCAAGAGGCTTTGTGTTTACAGTAATAATCTTGAAGATTTGTAAAAGTTTTATTCAGAAAACGTTTTTGTTGATCAGAGCCTTGAACAAATAAATAACTCAGAGTTAATTGTGTTATTTAATTCAGTTTCATTAAAGTTAGCACAGATAGCCCAAGAAAACTTCTGTGTGGAATTGCTACAGGTTTCAACAGATCTTCTCATTTTCATATGCTGAATAAGTAGGAGCTTTAAACCTACTCAAATTTTTAAAGCAATCTCACAGTCAGCAGGTTCAAATAGCAAGGGTGGTTTTTGAATGTGAACTCTTTAGAGAACAACATACATTTTCAGGAAAGAAATAGCTTTGGTTATTCTGTCTCTGAAGTGTACTGATAAGGGAACAGATGCACCAATGCATGAGCGCTTACCAGGTATCCGAAGCATCCAGTGATTAAAGGAAAGTATTTGGGAAAATATTACACCCATGCACTAGAAATGTGTGTTGAACTACCATATCCTGGTGTTCTCTTAGATGACTTGGGCAGGAGAAATGCCATCAGGAAACTATCTGACTTCTCCCTCTTCCCTGCCTGGTGTGAAAGGGAGAGCAAGCACGCCTGTTTTCTCTCCTGCTGGGAGACAACCTCTCCTTTTTACTTTCATCTTTCCCAGACAATCGGGGAAGTGGCAGTGGGAAGCAGGAGCTTAGTTTTTATTTTCCTAAATAATATATTATGAAAATATTTTTGCTCTTTAGTCCTGAATTTAATGTTTCCTACTACGTCATGAGCCATCATCTGGTCAGAGCTGCACTCCCACAGCCTCTTTATTTCCAGAAATCGCTTCTTTGTGCAACAACACTATATATATATATGTATATATATATAATATATGTATATATAAGGAGTTGTTTTAATTTGCTGCCTTGAAATATTTTGGAAGAGCGACGGAATGGAGGGGGGAGTCTGCCCTCAGGAGCACTGTGTCTTATACCACCATGTCTCACTGGAGACTATTCCATTTGTTTTGATGCACTTTGATTTACTAAGTAGCTTGGAGTCATCTTCTTAAGACAAGAGTCTTTAGGAACTCAAGAATAGCTAATGCAAAGTGGGTCAGGAAGGCAGTGCTATTTAAAGTACCACGAACATTTCCAGCTATTTGGCAGATCCAGCATGTCTTGCATGTGTACAGTGTTCACCAGTTATCTCAGGATTAGTAAGGGGAGTAGCTTGGGTGCTTCTCCTGGAGATTTGACTGACACAGTGCTGCATATTATACTGGGGTGGGTTTGTATCAGAGCACTCCAGCTACCCTGTGACAGGGGAAGGGTTGTGCTGGGTAAATGTAAGGCTTCTAGCTCTTCCAGGGAGAGATCTTTTCTAAAGTCAGAGGTTCCATAAAGAAGTAAGGATGTAAAACTTAAAAACAAGTTAAACATGAACTTAAGTACTTTGCTGAGTAGGACTGGACCTCTTAAAAGAGAGACTCAAAAAGAGGGAAGTTTTTGATAGTATAAGAAGAGGATTTAAAAATGACATCACAGCATTTCTTTAGGTCACACTTGAACCATTTAGAAACCAAGTGTAAGGTGTAAAGAACAGTTGAAAATGATTTAGAGCTCCTCCACCAAACTCACCCAGGTCACATGAAGAAAACGCTTTGTGACATTGTGGAAGCACCAGAATGGTGGGGAAATGTGTGGAGTGACATGTACCATCAGAGTGAAACCGGGTTAGGAGCACAAAGCCTGTGGTGATCATGGGCATGAATAAATTTGTCTTTAAAGTGGCTTGCCAGTTAGAGCTGTTGTAAAGATCAGTATAGTGGCTGTCTTTGATCTTTCTTTTTTTGAATGGCTGAGGTATCTCTTATTCTGCTGTGGAACTGCACTGTAGGTGTATCTTTTGGGCAGTAAAATTTTCTGTGGTAGATTTAGGTGTTGCATTCTTTTGAGTTCCAAGTTTTGTCTTTGAGGTCCTTGGTAGTTGTTTTTAACCTGGTAATTTTGTTTTTGTAAATCTGGGTGAGAGGCTTTTTGGTGAAACCCATAACAAAATGAAGGGAATGCTCCTCAGGAATGTCCAGTGGTCTGTGCATAGTGAAGATAGCAGATTTTAAATGAAATTAGGGAATAACATAAGAGTGAATTTGATTGTTTATAAATACTCTCATTAACATCTCTTATTTTTAAATGAGTGTTGTTTTCAGTAACCATTTTTTTCCAAAAAGCACTGACTTTTCAATGAATACTTGTTTGTCTTCTTTCATCATCCAAGTGGTTTGGTGCAGGATTTTTAGTGACTATAGGCTGTGCACTTTTCCCATGTGGGAAAATACATTTTATTGTATTAAGTGTTAATGTTCAAACTTTTTTTATAACAATGTTTCAGACAGTTTGTAGCTTCTGTTTTAGGCTTTTTTTGTTGTCCTCTAGGTCTGTTTAATTGCATGCACATTATCAAGACTTCTTGAAAGGGAATATTTGTGTGTGTCTATTAAGAAATGGATACATTTGTGGTGGAGAATTTTATATAAATCAACATATATGTATACTCTACTTACCATCTAACTTTTTGTGTTTCAATTTTTTAGGGAGAACCTATAACTTTCTGTGAGAATAGTTTTGTGAAGCATCGTTCCAGTACAACTAAGCAGTTCTTGGAAACTGCTGTTAATCTTCAACTGTTTAAACAGGTATGAGAGGGTAAATGACCCATGTTTAATAATTTTCTCTTAAAACATATCTGTATTTAAATACATTTTCCTTTCTGTCAGGTTATGAAGCTCTGGGGTGAGATATAAGTACAGGTACTTTGTGTACAGTCATCACACTTTTGTTGTATTTTTAAATCTTCACTTATAGCTGGAAAGAGCAGTGATGAAGCTGAACAAAAAAATAACTTCAGGGTGCAGAGCCAGTGCAGCATCTCTTCAGAGCCAGTCAGAAACCCATCTAAACAGGAAAAACCATGGATCTCCCAGCTTGATGGTTGAACTTCATTTTCAGCTCTCTTGGCTCACAACCAAAGAGCTTAAACAACATAGTGCTTACTTAAATTGGACTTCAGTGCCGTTTTATTTAAAAACTGGATTCATACTGCAGTTGCAGTTTTCTTTGTTAGGCTCTTTGAAGTATGCACACAGAGAATGTTACAAGCCTTAGCCATAGGGGTGGCCTGAACATATTCTAGCTGATCTATTACTGCAGATTTTGGATTAATAGGGAACAAGTTGTTGAATGTCTGGCACAGCATAGTTATAGTTTGATTACAGACTTTGAAATAATTTCTGTTCTTTGATTTTATTCTGTAACCCCTTTTTTCTCCCTTTTCATCAGATGACTCCATTGCATCAAAAGGGCGTTAAACTTATTACTAGATTTTTAGGAAAATCAAGGAAAATCTGAATGAAATCAGAAGATTCATAAAAGTATATATTTGCCTGCAAGTGATACACAGGAGTTCATGTTTAAATAATCTGGGGGACGTTTTTGAAGATATACTACCATGATAGATAAGGGAAATTCATTATATATAGAATCTTCTAATTTTCAAAAGATCATTTGGTGTTAATCAGAGGCTCATGTCTAAAGTAAAGATCTGTGCAAGGATGATGCTTTGTAGAAGTCCTGTGAAAATATGATCATAGAATGGGGCTGATTCAGTTTTACTGTGGTGTATGTTATACAATACAAAATGTAAATAAAAATTTAAAATAAGAAATAAGAAATCTGAAACCTTTGAAGTATGATTGATTGGGCTGAAATGGAAAGAAGTCACAGATTGAAGTGTCATTTACATTTTGTGTATCTTGGGGAGATAAGGTAGTATGAAACTTTCTTAATAGAAAGGTGCTTACAAACAGTGTTTCTAAACTGTTGTCATACTACTGGTACCAAAGCAAGATCTCCAGATGTAAGAAATAGGTTTTATTCCACTGAAATGAATGGGCTTGTCAGTGTGGCCCTGTACTTACCTATTACATTTTAAAGTGTTCAATTAAACATAATAAGTTTACAGTTTGTTTATAGCTTGTTTTAATTTTATTTCCACTAAAGGAAATAATATACTTTAGAGGATTAGGAAATAGTAACAATTTTGATGATGTGTGTGGTTTAATAGTGGTAGTAGTAGTAGAAGGTTTTTTTCATTCCTCTAGTTCTTATTGCAAAGGTTACTCCTACTTTTTCAGCTAATCCTCAGCCCAACTGCATCTTCTCCAGTTTTTCCCACTGACAAATGAGCTGTTTTCAAAGTTGTTTGTGTTCAGAGAGACCAGACTGTATTTTATTCGGTTATGGAAGGTCTTTTAAGCAGAAAATAGTTCTTAGAGGCAGCCTTAAACCTAGACCAAGGAGAAAGTTGGTAGTTTAAATATACCCTTTTTGCCATAACTGACAAGTGAGCTCTGTTTGTGCCACTTTAGAAAATCCTTCCTCTGTCCTTTTTTCTTTGTAGATTTTTAATCTTCTCTCTCCTGCATTAAAACATGTTAATTCCTGTAATTTAACCACTCTGTCAAGTTTGAAAGTTGTAATTTTCACCAAAGTACCAGGAAATCTCTGTCAGAATAAATTGTGGGATTAATTCATTGTGTTACTCCCATTCAGATTATTTTCATCTTCAACATCATCTGTTTTTACTTTGTATCGCATTTTGATGTGTTTTCTGTGTAGTGATACCCCCAAATGTATTAGGACATGCCAATCTTTTGTACCAAAATCATTACCTGACCTGTAAATGGGATCAGACCCAGTGCTTACCTTTACCATGGCCACAGCTCATCTTGACACTTCTTCTGTCATTACAAGCTCTTATCTCTTTCTTGGGCCAGTCCTCATCCAACCTAAAGTTCAGGTGTACTGTTCAGGTACTCTGCTTTTATTTCCTCTAACTAGTATTTTGAAATGCAAGAGTCTTTTCTGTAGTATAGATAAATTGCATTTCCTTTATCTAGGAAATTAATTTTCCAAGAGCCTGTGAGAATCAGTGTTTTGATAACTCATATATTTTTCATTTACTCATTTAGCATTTTTCTCCCCCAAAATCTGTTTGTAAGCCTCATTAAATTGTTAGGGGCAAACTGACAGACCAGCACTTATAAAAATTTTTGGTTTTTAAGTAATGGTACTGTTATTCTACACTTCAACTGTGCTTCCTTTACCTTGATAGATTCATAAAATGAGATTAACTTCCAGATGTATGTGCTGGTTTTCTTAGCATAATGTAGCAGATTTGAAACTAGGGGGTTTTTGACTTGAGTTTTATTCCTTGGATATTATAATGTTCATCTCTGTATCTTATTTTCATTACTCAAATTCAGCATCTTAGTCTTTACTAAGAATTGAGACAGTATATTTTTGGCAGGGACAATGTCTATATTATCTTTTAACCTCCAGCCATTCTCTCAGACTTATAAATTAAAGAGTTAACTTTTACATCATGTTGATGACTTCACATGTTTTGGAAGTTGAGAGGGGCTGTTTATATATCTCTGAAAGAGAGTAAACCAAACTGTTTATGGAAAACATACGATTTAAAGGAATTTGTAGAAGTAATTAATGATAAATATGCTGAAATGGATCACAGCTATTAGGGGGTTGTGAGGTTCAATTTGCTGCAATTTGCTGGCTTTAGTTTTGTAAAGCTGCCTTTTGCCCTGAATAGATTTAATGTTAAAACCCTGGTTATCATTATTCTTAAACTATTAGGATATTTAGTTATATATTTTTCTTAAAAAGAAAATAACTATTATTTATGTATTAAATATTCTTATTTCCTGATTAAATATGCTGCATATGACAATTTTTCCTGAAATACCAGGCCTGGATTTTTCAAGAGAGTATGGGTTTGAAAAATGGAAGGAGAAAGATATAAATTTTATGTGTAATTCCACATGCTATTCTTTTCATGTAGCAGTTTAAGGGCAACCATTAACAGTAAATTACTCAAAAGTAATAACTACTACTACCACTACTAATACTTATCATTTCCTTTAAATAATGTCTCCAATATCTTTTTACTAACAGTTCTCTTTGTCAGTATTTACATTAAATACTCAAATTCAGTCAGTGTTTCAGTCTTCTGTTGATAGGATTTTACCAAATGATGAGTATGTCCATAAATCATACACTAGTTTATAGTATGGAATGAATTCATAACTTTCCCCAAAGAGATAATGTGGTACAGTTCAAAGGCTGAGATGGTGAGGGGGTGTCATTGTTGGGGTTTTTTTTTCCACAGCAGTAGCTAAAGGTGCTCTTATCTCTTTTTCTTACTGTGAAATAATCCAGTGATCCCACAGTGGTCTGACCATGAACCAGCCTATTTGGAAAAAAGCCAACTTGGAGTAAAATGAAAAAATAAGAAGGAATTTAGACAAGGAAGAGAGAGAAATTATCTTTGTGTTTGCCTTATTCTTGCTGCTGGAATTTTTGTACTCTGAGAAATTAGTTTTTTCATGTCTCTAGTCCATTCATTGACAAGCGTCAGATTGGCACTGACACTGTTTGGATAATCTGTGGTAAAAACTGATAGAGCCAAATAATTAATGCTGGTTGGTTCCTATGTACTGTTTAGTACCAGCACATAACTCATAATTCTTGCTAGAAGATGAACTGTGTATAATTGGATAAATGCTTTCTCACTTTATCTGTCAGACTTGATTTAGCCTTTTCAAAACAAAAAGGGAGGGGTTGCTTCTTGAAAGAATTTTAAACCTATAACAATGTGCTTGTTGTACTTCCTTGAAGCCTGATAATTCTTGAAAAGAATGTATTCATCCCTTCTGAGAGGTTTAATCATTAATTATCTAATTTTGACTTTTTCTGATGCATTTGGATCATTTCAGTCTTTGTATCTAACTTGTCTGTAGATGCAAATCCACGTGGTCATGCAGCTGTAACCTCTGCATAAGGACAAGTGTTGCAATATGCATCTGTAGATGAACTTAAATAAGGGTTAGTGCTTAAAAAGACCCAAAAGGACAAAGAAGTGTATTAGAACTTAAAAATACAGTGGTGTCAATGCTATACTGTGCTCAGTCAGGTGCAGAGGGTCTTAGGGGTCTGCCTTGGCATTAGGCCTTGCTTTGTTTTGGCACTTTGTGTTGCGTTCCTGTAGAGTTAAGTGAAATTCTCTTCAAGTCAGCTCGAACTCTGCCCATCAAATCCATCCTGCTTCTGCCACCATCTCTGGAGCCAAGCCACAGCTTTGCTCTGCTGTTCACTGGATGGTCCTGCTACAATTTCCCCTCACTTACTGTCTCTATAGGGCCATTTTTCATGTAGAACACATGTGCTTGCAATAGACCTCAAGTTGGACATCATCATCTGTTTTTTCTTTGAACTGAGTGTCGTGAAATATTTCCAGTTTTTCTAAAGGGACTTTTTGTGTACAGCAAGTTCTGCTTCATATCTACTGATGTCTACCCAAAAAGGGATGCCACAGGGAGGTTTGTTTGTGTTTTTCTTACAAATTCACAACAGAACATCAGGGATTGTCTCAGTGACCTTTATATGGGTATGATTACGAATCCAAAGTAAGGAAATAATTAATTTATTTTCATGCCATAGGAAAATACAGAAAATCTAGATAATTTACTTGATCTATATAAAGTACTTTATATACCTCCTGCTCGTAATTACAGCTGCTCTTGCAAAGTCCATCTAACAGCCTTATTATCCTTAAGCCATATATTTTCTTTAACATACATGTTCCATTATAATGAACACATTTAAAACTATAACACTGTAAAGCAGTAGAAGAGAAAACAAAGTGTGACCCTTTTTTTTTTTCCACCTCCAGTTTATTGATGGTCGACTATCAAAATTAAATGCAGGAAGAGGATTCTCTGATGTTTTTGAAGAAGAAATCACAGCAGGAGGCTTTTGTGGAGGTACAGAATTAATTTGTGTGTACTCATTGACACTTCTTCTTTGGGAACCGTTCAACGTGATGTCCTCATGATGTCCTGTAAATTTTAGAAGTCATTAATCTTGTTACAGCTTCATTGTTTCCATTCGTTCTTGGAAAGGTTTTAGGTGTTAACAAATCACTGCTGGGACACATACTATTATGTGTCTGATTCTGTCAGTATATTAAATGAAGATATGTTTGTTTAATCCAGTAAAATAATTCTTACATTTCAGCAGAGGATGGGATATCACTCCTGTGTTCACGTTTATGTAATATGATATATTCCGTGTAAACTATTTTTAACATATTTGATATTCGTGATGCTTAACTTCTAGATAGTTATGTTTTCCATGAGCACTTCTCTTTTTTTCATACCTACTTATTTCTGCAGTGTAGAAATCAGACTGATTTCCTAAATGTTAAGAGAAATTTGCTTTCTCCAGCAAATGTGCTCCTCTAAAAAAGGGAAAGTTTTTATAACTTTTATATATGATATGAGAAGGGACATGGAAGTTTGCCTTCTCCATAAACAACAATATTATTCCTCATGTTGTTTGCCTCAGTTGTGTTCACTGGCAATTGTTACAGTGCTTTTCACATTAGGTAACCCATAAGGAAGAGTGCATGCTGAATCCAGTCCTGATTATTACAGGATTATTGAAAGGTTTCCTGTTAAACATTTAGTACAAGTCTATTGTTATTTGAGGTATTGTCATGTTTTAACCCCAGCTGGCGAATAAGCACCACACAGCTGTTCACTCTACCCCAGCCAAAACCAGCACAGGTATAATAGATGGTATCGAAATATTGGATCAAAATATTCACGACCAGCACAAATACTGTTTTATGGTCAATCTTGAAAGTAGTGTAGAAGCTTCCTCAGTAGATGGAATTTATGTGATATGAGCAAATCCACAGAGTTGCATATGGCAGCTTCCTTTGCAAGACTACTTTTGAATGGGCACCCACAGAGAAACTATCAAGTGGTGCAGAGCCATCTGTACCTCCTGCAAAACACCTTTTTTGTACTCAAAGTACATAATTGCTTTTGTTCAAGATTTCCACTGCCTTCTGCCCTCTGTGTCTTGTGCCAGGATCTAGCACATAATTTGTGAGACTTCTTCTTGATTAAAGTGTGGTTAGTTATACAGAGATTTACTTATTTCCTGCCTTTTTAGGGTAACTTATGCTGCTCTGTAAACAGATTTGAGGCATTGAGCATCCATTATTCAGATAGGTGATGTCAGTACTCAGAGCTCGTTCGCTGGCTGCGGTTAGGGGTCAGGAGGCTGCAATAAAACTGCAATAGAAGTTAGATAAAGCTTGTTTCTTGGCTGGGCTCTGGCAGCCTGTGAACCATGTCTCACCTGGCTCTGCTCAGGAGGGACTGCTCAGCTCTGCTATCAGTTCTCGGGTAGATTGCACTCCGTGTGTACTTTTCACATCAGGCAAGCTGAATATTGCCAGGCTGTGGACAAATTGCTTAGGGCACATATTCAGTATTTACATAACTGCTGTCTCATTATTGTTATGAAGTGCGGGGCTAACAATATGTGTGCAATGGAAGATGACATTTTGTGACGCTAATGGGGTAGAACTATGATCTCTTTGCAGAGTTAGCTCCCATCAACTTGATCAGGAAGCCCAAGGTTTTAAAAAAGCAGGTGAAACCCGGATTTCAGAAAAGTCACAGAAAGTTAGTGTGAGCTACAAGCTGTTAAAGGACAGGTGAACAGTCTTAGCTGTAGAAAGTATAATTTAAAAACTACTGAATCAAATTGAAAGTGATTCTTTAAGTAATCTCTTTTTAAATTGGCATTTTTCCCCATATGCAAGTGTAACTAAACCAGAAAAGAAAATTAAACTGGAAATTGAAGATTAAGGCTTAAATTTCATTTTTTAATTTTTTTTTCAATAAAAGTGGTCAAAACTTATTTCTGTATATCTACATCTGAAAATAAATTTGTCAGCCATCTTCATTACAGTTTGCACTTTGTATTTAAAATTTTATTTTCTCTTACATGTATTATTCAGTGGAAGTATTAGTTCTCAAGAGTTTTATGTAACTTTCAATACAAGAATAAAGTGATGGATTGGCTTAGCACTTGGATTTCTGGTAGAATACATTAATTAAAGTAATTTGTAATCACATGAATTTTACTCCAGTCTTTTTCTTTTCCATTGGTCTAATATCAGTGGTGGTAGAATAAGGAAAACTGAAAAAGTGAAAACATTTGAAATTACAGCTAAGGTGTGGAAAGAGTCACTGTTAAAGACACCAGAACCCAGATGATATATGAATATTGTTGATAAGAATTGAAGTTATGAAATGTCACGTTAAAGAAAGTACTTATGGTTCCTGCAGTTTCTTTAACATACTAGCAATTGTTGAATTTCACCCTGTAACATGTTATTTGCATGCTTCCTTCTGTGACAGGTCTAGGGAGCCAGATCAAATAAGTGAAAAATTAGTTATTTTTGCTTATTTTGACGTTCTTAGAGAGAGTCTGAGAGTCTGGCTTTCTCAACATTGCTTGTAAAAAGTTCAGTGGAATGTGTGAAAGTGCCTGATAGGAGTATAAACAGCTCGTTTTTTCACCTCATTGAGAAACTTTGGAATACCTTTTACAATGATCCAGATAGTTCTCAGACCTGTTCTAGGAGACTGTATTGGCTTTCAATGCAATAATTCTACCCAGATCTTGGTTACTTGATTATTGCAAAGGTTAAGAAGTTTTGAAAACTCCTGTTAAAACTCTGCAACTTCAAGGATGTATTGGTATGGTCCTTTCAAAATGGTCAAACTCTGAAACTTCAGCATTCCTATCAAAGTGAATGTCTTGTATGGGGTCCATAGCAGCACACAGTACTGGAGTATTCAAGTGACTGATGTACTCTAAAACTTTCTCAGGGATCATGGACCTAATCTTTGGCATTCAGCTGAAGCACTTTTAGGAAATAGTATTCATTTCTTCATCAAGTAGAATTTAATGTTGTCCTTCATGGCCAGTTTAGTGGCACAGTAGTCTACGGTGGTCCTACAGAAGCCAGTAGCTCTCACTTGCCTTTAGAGTTTTTTCTTTGTGAAAGAAAGTAGATATAGTTAAGTATTTAAAAGGATGTTTCCTGCACAGGAATACACAGTTGTGCCATAACCCTTAGACTTTTCTCTAGTTCTTTTTCCTTGGGACTGTACCTTCTGCATCCATGTCACTGTGGGGCCTGAAAATTTGCCCAGAGGGATCTTTATGGTTGAATGCAATTAATGATATTGTATTCTTTCCTGTGAGTTAGTGTTTTTCTTTGTAGACTTTCTAGCAGTATGATGCCTTATCATAGTTTTAATTTCTCTTTCTACCTCAGTTGGAATTAAAAACGTTGTGTGTTGAAAAGATAAGCTTTTACGAAGGAAATAGAAAACATGAAATAAGAGATTCCTAGGTTTCTTTTTTAGTGTACGTGTATTCTTATCTTTACATTCCTTGTCTGTCTTGAAAGAATTAAATTAATAAATCACCCTCTAAGGTCATTTCTTTATGCATATAGTGAAGAGGGTTGAAACATTTTAGATGTTGAATGTATGTTTTATTGTGTTATATTTTACATTTCTATTTCAGGAAATTCAAGATCTTACCAACAGTGGATGCATACAGTGAAGGTATAAACTTGGTTAAGTAATTATGCTGGCTACCTTGTCCTTTAAGCCTTTATCCTTTTTCTTACATCTATGTAATGGTAAAAGTTTGTTCATTTGTGAGGAAAATGTGTGTTCTGTAATAAATAACATGTCTATGGTATATGCAATAATTTTGTGAGTTTTCTTCTTGAAGATTTAAAAAACCACAAAAGTCCCATACAAAAAACAAATGGCAAAATGCATGAGGTTTTTCTCTCTGTATAGTTAAAGATTTCACTGCTTTCTGTATCATGTTACATTCCATAACTGTGAATTAGGTGTGACAGTACAATTTGATATGAAGTTTATCACTTCGAGTAAATAGCAATTCTGTTAATTTGGATTCGTGCAGTTTGGCTAGCAAAAGACCCTGGGTATAACCTTGTTATTCTGCAGGATTAGTAAAATATATTATTTTAGATTAAGAGAATTCTTGTGTGATTAAATGAGATAGTTCTTTCCGTGGGGTCAAAGTATTTTTTAGTCGCATAATAAATATGATAGGAACACATGAAAAATAGCCTTAACTTCTGAATTGATTTTGAAATGGTAACAGTGAATGAAGAACAAGAATACATCATTCTGTTAGAATGCATTGATAAATGTGTCAGCCGTGGTAATGACGTACTGTAACCCTTGTGTGGCTGCAGACAGCAGGTTGGAGAGGAAACACAGCTGTGGTTGCTCTTACCCATTTAAAAGGAAGATTGTTATTTCTTCACAGCACGCTGTTTATTTTTCCTTGCTGTTGTCTTAAGGTTTGACTTGTGTTAAAATGTTGCTAAAATACATTTTTTGTGCATTTCAGAAAGGCGGTGCACTGATCAACACAGCGATGACCAAAGCCACTCCGGCTGTGAAAACAGCATATAAATTTGTGAGATCATCTATTTCAAATAAATAATACATAAAAATACTGCAACTTCCTACAACCTCTTGTTCTTCCTGAATGCTTAAAAACCTAAGCATTTTTTAAATGTATTGCAGAAAAGCACTTCAGCCTTTAGAAAGTGTCTAGCTTTGCTTGTTTTCTCATCTAGCGCTAGGATTTAGAGTTGATTCAGTGTCTTCCAGGTAGCTTGTACATAAAAATAGAGTTTTTCAAAGCATTAGTGCACTGGTTTTGTTTCAGTTTTAATACACACTAGAAGCTTATTTGAATATCATTTAGCTATTTGATACACAGCTGCAATTTTGCTTTGGCACTAAGTGCTGCACTGTTGAAAAGATGTGGTAAAGCATCAGTAATGTGTGCAGCAAATCATCTGCTCTTTTAAAGATGGTATTGGAATACTCATGTTTAACTGGATTTAGTGCTTATACTTTTGATGTTAAAAGATCTTGTTTTCGAAGACTGCTGAACCAGTAAAACATGTGAGACTATACGGTATTGTGCAGTCTGGTGAAACAGCAATAGTATAAAATGAAGTGGGAAGTATTTTAGGGTTGCTTTTTTAATATATGGGAAGAGAGTTTTGGCTTCCTTTTTGCTTTTCTAATTGTTTCACTAGTTGGATGCATAATAAGTAGTCCTGAAATAAATCAGAAAACCAGTCTAAGCTGGTGTATTTTCAGTAAAGTTTTCAAACAGAATTTTTAATTTTACATCACTTGACAAACACAGCAGTCATGGAGAGATACAGGTAAATAAATTAAATATACTTCATATTCATGGACTCATTTATAATTTAAAAAGTGGTTCATTAACAGGTTATCTGCAAATTATTCATCTTAATTTGCACTATCTTAGACGGTGGTTACATGATCTTCTCCCAGCCTTCAATTTTGATAATTATGTCCTTGATAGTAAAGGTTCTTCAAAGTGAACTTCAGGAAACACTAGTAAATTTTTGAGGATCCATGTGTGTATGGTATTCATATTTATACCCCATTTGATTTCTTATGTTGTTGCCCTTTATGGAGCCTGCTACTAGAGAAATGAAATATGGATTTCTTAATTGTTAGATAACCGGTTGGTAGTTTTGAGTAATGTGCTTGGTACCATCCCTCAGAGTTAGAACAAAGCACTCCAAAATTCATCTAAATGCTGTGAGCATGATCTGGAAAGTTTAAAGTGGCTTTCAGGTTAGCATTTGCTACATGGCACCCCATTGGACTGTTAATGAGCTTATGGATGTATGATTTAAGGATCAAAAAGACTCTCTGACCTCTTGATTCAAGAAAATTATTTTGTTTTTCTGAATTGCCACGTACAGAAAACCATTGAAAAAATAGGTAGTTTCCAGATATTTATGGCCTTAAATATATTTTTTAAAGTCCTGCTTTCAAGACAACCTTGAAAACTTCTGTAGTTTTTACCTTTTCTTCTATTAGGGTTAGAGTTTTTGATGTTGTGCCCCCCCCTTTTTTTTTCCTACTCCTCCCTTTTCTCTCTCAAATGTTTTTTAGCATAAGAAAATGGTATTCTGTATTGAAGAATATTCTTGGCTGTTTTCTATGCAACTGTGATCCTTGTCTGCCTCTTTTAATGCATACAGAATTCTCCCCTAAATAGCAGCACTATGCTGTTCAGCAACACTGGGCAAAATCTCCATCTGCATATGAAATCACTTCATTTCTCTTAAGATTGATGTTGCCCTGCAAGTTGCCAGACTGGAACACTGTAGCAGTCATCTTAAAATCTTAGCATTTTTTCAACGTGCTTTACTGCTAAAATGCCCTTTCAAATTTAAAGGAGAATTTCAAATAAAGAAGTGATGTATATGACCATACTTAGCCTGTCCCTAGTAATAATGGAAGATTTTTGAGTATGTATGTTTTCACAGCATTGGCATGCATGTACTGAAAAAAATCCTTAAATATACAGACAAAGCATGCATATAAAAAAATATAGTGACAGTGCATGTTTGAAATTTGTCACAAAGGTTATTGCTTTATATCACCAGGTGTTTAAAAAAAAAGGTAAAATAGGTATGGCATCATAAAGCATGTTCTGTGACTACAGCCAGTGTCTTGCAGAGCTACTCAAGTCCTTTTCTTTCTCTAGGCAAAAAACCAGGCAAGGCAAGGAATAAAAGAAGTGAAGAGTAAGTTAAAACACAAGGTATGTGGTGCACTTTTTACTTTCTTACATTGCTTCCTGTATCAGTTTGAAGCTTATATGTTACAAATCACATGAGATTTGTGTTTTTAATGACTTTTGAAATATGCTTAGCCCTTTGTTCAACAATACATTTTTCATAACGAGCCCTCTGGCAACTATCTGTCATTCTATGCATCCACTGAATAATCTCTTTATTGTTTGCATATTTTATCATAGAACAACAGAGGTCTTCAAAGATACATTAAGAGGATGTATGTTTTCATAAAGTTGATTGCTTTGATATCACAATCCCAGCCTTTGCTTCAAACTGAGAATTTGAGATGGGAAAGTCTTGCAGTACAATGTATTTCAGAAAGTGTAGTTGTCCAGTTTTAGTTTTGCAAGATTTTTGAACAATAGCAGTGTTTAGAGACAAATGAATAGTTTCATTAGAAAAGATGTTTTAGGCATTTTATAGCTGCTTTTCCCATTCAAAATTTTGTTTCCACTTAAGATTTTTCTGTATGGAGAAGGAACCATTTTTTGGACAACTTTTATGCTATTTTAAGAAAAATTTCAAAAATATTTGAACAATTCATCTTTTAAATGACAATGTGTGTAATCCAGTGTCTTGAAAAGCTAAATTTGATTTTCTTACTACAGATGGTATTTTCATGACAGTAATAGATTGTGGCAAGATCATTTTGAATGCATTCTGCATGCATAATTTGGAGGGTATGTTTGCAGATAGTGATTATAAATAAAGGAATTTAAATCTGTTTTGTTGCATAGGAGAGTGAGGAAGAGTATGGAACTTGCAGTGCTGGTGCAGTACAGAATGTTCCTATCTACACATCACATTATGAGAAAAGAACAAGCTCAGAAAAACGAAGACTGGCACAGGTAAGACACCTGAAACTTCTGTTCATATTCACATGCATATGGGGAATTTCTTTTGCCACTTATAGTAGTGTTTTGCTGAATTTTTTTTAAGATTATTTTACTGTCTCTGATGAGATAGTGTGATTAAAAGGCTGTGTTTGTGGAAATACTGCTATGCTACTTGTATGAAAAAAATGCTATTTCTCTTTCATCCCTGTTGAGAGGGGAAAGAACATACTTATAAGTATGGATTTGGGATTTAGTTTTTAAATACTGTTTTTGATAGAGGCTTCTCACAAAAAAATCATTCTGGTCTATTCACAGACCTCTATTAAGCTATCTTTTTTAGTTTCTTATGGTGAGACACAATAATTTTGTGTTTCTAATAAATTGTTTTGGCAGCCATATGGCCTTTAACCTTGCTCAGATCATTATTATTTATTATTTTAATAATAAGTCAGCTAGTTAATACAGTGCCAATGTCTTGGCTTTTGTTCTCTAATCCTTTCTATTCTAGATTTGAAGTAACAGGTGTAGTGTCTCAACTTTGGCAAGTGTTTTAATGTTTTTGGATTCAGTTTGACAGTTTTATTTCAAAGATATCAACAAAATAGGTTTTGTAACACTTTTTTCTACAAATTATTACCCGCGTACATACATATTTTTAATATACAGGTGTTTATTTTTACATTACATTGTTATTGCATGTTTTTAATATGTTATATATGGATTTTTAATGCCTGTATCTTCCTCATATGAAAATTAAGTCTAGAAATTCAGTCCGGGTGATCTAACAACATTAATTTTTTTGCTCTAGGTATTGCAGCAATAAAAATCTGGATTGTCTGTTTAATGAATTTGATTTTGAATTAATTTTTATCAGTAATAAAGTTTGTGAAATTTAACATAGAACTTATGCAGATTATTGCTAAATGATGGTGAAATTGTACATTAGTATTAAGTAATTTTTAGTAGGGTTATAAATAAAGCAAAGACTTTCTGCTTCATTGATGTGGTAGTGCTGCCTAGTGTTATGTACAGGAGTCTAGGGATACAAAGGGATATAATTTACCTTGGTACAATTAAACATTTCTTTTGAAGGCACGTGTTCAGACAGAACAATTTAACTTCTGTATATTTTTGTGTTCATACAGCTATATAGTGCTAAATCCTATAATCTTTGCTGTTTCTACAAGTTGTCTTTTAGCCTTGAAAATAAGGCAGGAGTGAATATCTGTCCGTAGCTGTTTGCACATGTACACACACATGTTAACGTGTGTGCATACACACATACAAATCCATGTACTTAAATAGGGTTTATTCATTAGCAAAGCTTGTAATAACAGCCCTGTGGTTTTGCCCTGCTGCAAATGAAGGTCCCTTGTTTTCTCCCCAGCCCCAAATGTCACGTGAACCCAGTGGGCAGGAAGGAGCACATGGGGATTGCTCTCCAAGAACTCCTTCAATCCTCACTCATGCCATTCCCTCTTTTTCCTGCCCCCCCAAAAGCAAACAAACAAAAAGGTTTTTAAAAAATAAGTCTACTGTTGCTACTCTTCTTTTTATTTTTATTCTTTGTGTTTGAATAAGATTACATAAATACAAGTTCTTTATTAATAAGTGGTGATTTTAAACTTTGCGTCCAAAAATATATATTTGTATTCACAATGCGTGTGTATGAGAGAGTGTTTGATCTAGTACTGAAACTACTGTTTAAAAGAAGTGAATTTCAGTGCCATTGTTGTCAGATTTAATCCTTTTTCTCTTTATCCTGCAATAACTCTTTATCCTGCAAATGAACCTCTCCACCCAGATTTCTAAAATGATGTCCACGAGTGTCTATATCAGTATAAGGATAGTGCTAAAATAGGGTTCATGCAATTTGATACATATTTAAAGTAAGGATCAGATATTGATTAAGTTGTTATGTCAGTGTACTGGAATATCACCCCAAAACCTAAATAAACAATGAACAAAAGAGAGAGATTGCTTTTAATAGTCACCTTGCTTCCAAACAAGAGGCATCTCTGCACTTTATTACTATTTCTTCCATACTGAAACATTTAGAAAATTGTAAATATAAAGAATTTGGTGTTACATTTTATGTCATATTAGATGCATGCATTGAGCTTTTTGTTCTCCACTTCTTGGAAACAGTTAAATTTAAATACTAACTAATAGTACCTGAGATGCTGTAAAACATATTTATTTTGAAAAGTTGTGTATGATATGAAAGTTTACTCCACTGAGAAAGATTATTTTAAAAATAACAGGATTTTGGGGTCTGAGAGGATGTTTCCTTTACAATAAAAAGTGAATCTTCTTTTACCCCAACAAATAGTAGTTTGTATATGGGTCTGCTAATTAGTACGGTTATTTCCTGTTTTGTTGATGAGGCTTTAATAAATGTCAAGGGTACAGCCATGAAGATCTCCCAATTAGGCTTTGCGTTTGTAAAACCCAACCCCTTTGCTTTTGTGTGAAGATGACAGTTCCAACTGCAGCCTCAGCCTAACAGGGCTCAAGGGAAAGGATACTTCTCTGGTTTTATTGAAAACAAGGCCAGTTTGGCCCAGGGAGAATACCAGCACTGGTCACAGTGCAGAGCCATTTTTAACAATGAATATTTACTAAGCTTTATCACTGCTGTCATAGTGGCCTTATTGTATTTTTTTTTAACAGATAAGCAATAGACTTAAAAAAAAATTAGCAGTAAATAAAAAAAAAAGTATAGCGTATAAAGTAGCTGTCAAAACCTAATCAGAGGATAAATAATTAAATGTGCTATTGCAAACCGTAGTGATCAGCTTGCCCTCCTATAATTTCCATTTTGCGAGTCTTTCCTAAAAAAAAAAAGGAGCTGAGGGGAGTGCACTCCTACGTGCCCGTGTGCATGCGCGTGTGCGCACACAATTAATCTGTGCCTCAGATGAATCCTTCTATCTCTGTAATATTCATTTGAGCTTCCCCTTGCTTAGGTTCGCTCTTCTAGGCTTTTTATATGTGTGCGAGCTTAACTATATTGCAAGTCAACATTAACAGATGGATTGCCCTAAGCAAGGGAAAACCACAACAACAAAAATCTAGTGAAAGTGGAGGATTGAAGCTTTTTATTGTTAAGCCTTATTAAAACCTTGGCATGTGCACTGCTGTTAACTGTTTCATGCCTAGAGCTAATAATATGTCTCTGGTATTTTTTATCTCTTGCATTAATAAGGGATGTAGAAGGTATAAGAAATCACCAGCTAAAATTTTTGAAACAGAAATTAATGCAAGCATGAGACCGCTTCAACACTGCAGTATCTTCCCAATGATGTTGCTGAATTACTTTAACTATTGATGAGAAGGGCACAGGAGGGCATGTATTAGACTGTAGTGCATTCAGTTTTTGCATAATCTGTTTTAGTTCTGTTTCATTATATACTCCCAGGTAATGCAGGTTTCTGTGTACGCAGGGGCCTAAATGCAGTAGGAGCTCTGTAAAATTGTTCCAAATTAATATGTAATTAAAAAGAAAATGTGTTTATTATGATCCTGGTTAGAATGCCAGGAAGACCAGTTTGATTTCATGAATATGATCTTTGTAATTTTGCTGTTATGTTAGGTGTTAGGGTAGCTTATTGAAAGTGGAGCATTTCAGGATATCAATAGTCCTAATGTATTTTGTGGCTAATAAAACACTCTTGAAGATTTGCAGAATACCGAATAAGAGCTACCAGTTCACTTTGCAATTAGTAAGTTAGCAATGCCCCCTTGTCTCTAAGGAAATGTATGTAATAGTATGTGCCTAAAGGTACTACAGGTATCTTGCATCTGTAATGGAAATCGGCATTTGGATTCTAAGTGTGGATTTACCAGGAATCCCTGTGTGTCAGCAATACTTTAAATGTTCCTATATTGAAGATACCAAGTGAACTATTCGTCATGACTTTGCAGGATCCAAATACAGTGACTAAGAAGGTATTAAAAACACTTTTGCATAAGGTAATAAAAGCCAACTTAGACTAAACTTTTTTCTTGGTATGCTCACATAGAAGAGAACTACCAGTTTTTAGTCTTTTTTTTTTTTTAAAGCATATTGCAAATGGAGCTTTTTCACTTTTATTGAAGTATATCCTAGTAAGTATACAATGTAGAATTCAGCTTGCAGTAGGTATACTTGGCATCTGTTCAACAAAGATAGCAAGTGTCAAGCAGGAAGATGTGTTCAGAATAACCTTACCTTCAGGAGTGCCCCATTTATCAATATCCCTACAATGGCCAGTAAAATAAATGACATAATCATTAGCTACAAAGGGCTTCTAGTAACTGATTACCCTCCTAACCTGAAAAAGACTGTGAGAGTTGGCTGTTCTGAATACTTTTTTTTTTTTTACCAGTAATGTAAGAGAGGAGATGACATACTTGTGATAATGCAGTGCTGAATATACTGAGTATTCTGTATAAGGTGACTTCCTTTTGGAAAAAAAAATCCACAAACAGCCCCAAAATGATTTCAGAAGCATAAAAGCTCTGATTAAGGGCATTTGCCTGTATTTGTATTCAGATAATGTGCTTGAGATCACATCTATGCCTACCATCCACAGATAACACTGATTATGTTACTGGAGGTCTCTTCTGCTCTAATTGTCTAAAATATTATAAATTGACAGATGTCATAAAGTAAGAGCTTTTTTAAAATGTAAATCACATTTTGTAAATAAAAAGTGAAATACAGCGTTGAAGTAAGCTTCGGTTGATCAGTAAATTCTGATTCTTAGCTAATATGTAATTTGAAAATATTGTAGATATCATTAACTTCCTTTAATTTGGAGAAAAATCTTTTGTCTTGGTGTGTCAAGTAAGATCTCTTTATTCTGCAAAACAGTCAGATTTCCTTTTAATTAAAAATGAAAAAGCTATGCAGCCAAAATTCAAATTGTAGATTACGAGAGTGCCCTCTCGTGGCGCCGGTACCTTTTTGAAGAGTTGGAGGCACATGTTTCCTCTGCCTCGTGCAAGCCTTGCTTGTTACAATAGAA